TATGAGCTACCGCTACGATCCGCAGATAAGCCTGATAATATTTGGTTTGTAGCAAAAAATACATATTGACTCTCATATTTGATGATGTTGACATATTAAATATAAATATTTATATTCTGATTAAAGCCTAAAAAATAGGACACATAATGTGAATACGTGAAGCTTGCTCAAGATATTTTAATAAGTCTCAGATGTAATTAGACACGTTTTAATTAGTGTTCTTTTCTCTATTGTTTCTCATTTGAAAATGTCTATATTTTTTTCTCGCTTTACGGCTTTCAGTTAGTTGTGAAAATTTGTCTACAATACTTCCGGCTTGGGATGCTTTCAATGCGTTTCTTTTGAACTAATATTTTCTTCTCATTTCTAGCAGCGCTAAGTGCTTAGGCCGCACGACAAACCAATTAACAAGTCTACTCCCTATCGGTGTGTTTGACACTTAAGAGCAAAAACCGTTCGCAACGGACCAATAGATAACCCGAGCGAGCAGCCACCCGGCAGCAATCGAGAGCTGAAAGATCTAATCGGAACATTTCACAGATACGGATTGAAATGCCTAATCATACTTTGACACAATCTGACACAGCAGTGAATAATTAGCCAAGAGATGTGATTATATTCATAATTAAACCCTGATTATGGCTAGGGCCCTTAAATTTCGACATACAAATGCAATTAGCTAAATAAATGCTTACATAATTGTGATCAGCCGCACATCCGCCAACTAATTTAATGGGCCAACACAATGAGCCTTTTTTTTCGGCCTGATAAACCCATCGACCGAATGAAGTGGCTCAAATGTGAATTATAATCGCCGCCCGAAAGTATGCTTTGAATTATTTCCAACTGCCAACTGCTAACTTTAAACGTTTCTCTGGCACAAGCTCAGGCGGGTGCTCCCCATAACAAAATAAATATAAATAAAATTCTGCCTCGGCCATGTGGCAATTTAAGTTATAATTTGCAAATAAATCTAATTTTGTGTGTGGCAGAGGGTCAACGACGAGGCGAGGCAACTGCTGATAAAAAGAATGAGAATGAAAACCATTTAAAAATGAAGCCGAGCAGGAGGCGAGACGCCAAGTGCAGGGCTTTCAAATTAAGAGAGCACTAAAATACTATTTGAGTGTGAAGAATTTTTTTTGAATTTTGTATATTTATTTTAAGCGCTGAATCTGTACAATGCAAGTTTAGTACCTTAACAACACAATAAGATTATTTATTTAGAACCTAACCTTCTGTGTGAAGAATGTGAAGAGAATAAATCTCAAATTGAATATAATTAAATGAAATCATACTGAGGCACGCTTCACATTCATTTCAAAACAGTTTCGTAGCTTAAGCAAATGCAAAACTGAAATGAAAATCTCTTGGCGCTTGCACAGAACTTTCTGTTAATACAAATACTTGCAACTGGCCAAGAAAAATATTACTAAATTGTTTTCCCACTCGCAAGTTCACTGCTTTGTTTGCCGTCTCCCCTGGCAGCAGCCGCACAGCCACTGCCTCAGCCTCTGCCTCAGCCACCACCACAACCACAGCCAGTGCCAGTGCCACATTGCCATCTTCGCTTTCAAGTTACATATTTCTCTTGTTTTCGTCTGACAGCAATGATTGCTTTGGCAAACTGCCACCAATCTGCAGCTTCCTCTCAACGGGTCTTAGCTGCCGCCTCCTGCCCGCTGTACACATAGCCAGTGGCTACAGCAGCGCGCATCGTGGATTTCAGGGCTCAAGGCGCTGCCTTTGAAGCTGGCGTCGTTTTCTACGTCGCCGCCATCAACGCCTCGCAAAAGTAAAAGCAACGCAAAGCAAAGCGGAGCAGAGCTCAGCCCCATGTCACATATTATATTATTTTTTTCATTTCTTGGCAAGTGGGGAGCAATGCAATGCTTTTTAAATACCAAAATGAACATGTCAGAGTAAACACGACGAGTGTGAGGAAGCCAGAGATACCCTGTAATCGGCGTGAAATGGGAATAAAGATTTCTTTAAGTGATAAAGAAGATAAATAATAATATTAATGAAAGATATATATATACTCTTCCTTCGTATAAACATCATGCCCGCTTTTAACCATTTCTTCAATTTACAGGGTATACAAAGAAACTGAGAGCATTAACTACAAAGAGCTGCCAGTGGACGGAGCCATCATTGCCTCAAGGCGACTGCTGGTGGTTTCTGCTTCTTATGTTCCCGCTGCTACTCCTGCTGCTCCTGCTCGGGCTGCTCATGCTCCTGCTGCTGTTGTTGCTCCTGCCAAGCCGTCAACGCTATTGTCGTCGTCTTCACTTCAACTTTATCCTTTCGCGTGCCCTTCTTTGTTTCTTCTTTTCTTGCTGCGGCTGTTGTTTGCTGTTTAACGAAGCAAATCAACAAATTGTAATGATGCCGAGCGGCGAAGATTGTTCTGCGACGCTTGCACTTTTCGCCATTGGCTCCCGCTCCCCAAACACTTGGCCCTACACAAGCGAAACTGAATCTGAATGTGAACCGGAGCCCGCAGTCCTTTTTGCATGGCTCGCTCCACTTGGGACGCAGTGTAGCGTAAAATGAATTGAGACATTCATTTCGAAACCCCAAAAAAAAAAAAAAAAAAAAAAACACACACACATAAAAAGCCAGAAAAAAACAAAAACAACAAAAAACAGAAAACAAAAAACCGCAGGCTGAGAACCCTTGCAAACTTTTCCAGCAACTAGCACTAGCACTACGGTCATTACCACACACAGACACACATACACATACACACAGAGGCCCACATCTACACCTACACTTTCACACATACGCACAAAGCTGTGAATGCAAAAGTGGCAAAGTTTCACAGCACTCAGCAAATGCCCGAGGGCAGCTGTTGTGCATTCAGGTGTGAAGTTTTTGGTCGGCGCACAAAAGTATGCTACAAATAATTAAATCATGCAAAGGTTAGCGCAACTTTTTGAGCACGACATGCCAGTTGACGGGGCAGTGCACTATGGGTCAAAAGCCCGTTTTTTTGGAATTAATTAATAACTTTTGAACTAGTCAAGATAATTAAATTTATTTTTTTGCATTTGACTTTCGTTCGCAACACTCGTTTTTGGTGGAAAAAATGGGTGTGGCACCGCCTCGCTTTCATATTATTAGATGTCATAACTTTTTTGCTTTTTAAGATATTTACACCAAATTCACATATTAGATGTGTTTTCATGTTCTAAAGATCCTGTAAAAAAATTATCAAAATCGGTTAACTATATCATATAGTTTTTGTATGTAGAAGTTGACAAAAAAATGTTTCAAGGAATAAAAGGTTATATTTTATGATTTTAAGCACAAATAACATTAAAATATATCTCTTTTATTGTTAATCATCGTATTCTTCATTATCTGAAGCTAGCATGCCATAAACCTCAAAATTTTAAAATTCCTGCCTTTCGGAAATGCCTTTTTCCTCTTCCTCGTCTGCGACGAGGTTAGTTGCTGAAAAATTAAATTGCACAAAAAGTGCGCAAAAGTGCATGTTGAACTTATAGGTGTTAGCTCAGAATTGAATACTCTATAAAATGAGCGTAATTTCATTGCTACAAAGTGCTACAAACGCAAGTTTTCTCTTATCAAAGACAAAAAATTTTTTTTTTAATGATGTCAAAGACAGCATTTTGACTTACATAAAACTTCACATCACATACAGATTTTGGACAACACAAACACGTAAACATAAAGAACAAGCCCAATTCCGTGTTTTCCACCAAAAATTTTTAATTAATTGTCATTATTTTGATTTCAATTGGCGATCGAAATTCATAGAAAGTTTTTTACAACATGATAATGTGCGTGTCATGCATAACAGCTCTGTTTAACAGCAGTTTAGTTAGCAGATCGCGCCTCTGTTAAAATTCTGAGTATGTAACATTTACATATAGGGTATTCTTAATGGATTGACATTAAAATTTTGTAAATTTTTTCAACTTGAAAATAAGACTTTTTTCCAAAAAATCGGGCTTTTGACCCATAGTGCAGTGCCAGCCGCTGAGCAGCTGAGCAGGTGGGCAGGTTAGCGGGCCAGGTGAGTGGGCCATACACTGCGTAGACAAGTTCAATGCCGCCTTTGAGGCCTTGTCAGCCTGTCAGATAGTTGGCGATTGTCTAATCGATATTTATATTTGCTTTTCAGCAAAGGGTTCCAGCATTTGCATATGCCAAATACACAATGAACGACAACACGGGTGCGGAGAGGTGCGGTCCACGCGCGGGTCCCCCAAGTGCCCAGCAGCCATATTGGCCTGCCTTTTTTACAAGTGCTCTCGCTGGCATTTCCGTTTCCGCTTCCCTTTCTAACAGAAATAAAAAATCAAATGTTGACTTTTGTATAGACATTTCAATGCACTTCCTGCAAAAACACGTCCAATGCTGGGCTAACAATCGAGGTATTGCAGGATGAGACTTGGCATTATATAACACCCATTATTATTATTATTTAAAAAACAGTTACGGAAGCCTGTGCAAGTTAGCACTAAGTGCCTTGTGCAGCTGCAAACGTAAGTCCTAATTTAATATGCCCCATAAAAGGAACTTATCGAAACTGCACTGGCAGCCTGGAGCCACACGAGCACTCCAAGATAGATTGCAGTTTATTTGCTTGGCTGACGGTGGCCCATAAATTATGAGAAGCAAATGATTTGCATGCAGTTTTTCTTGCATTCGCCTTCGTCCGCTGTCCGCTGCACGCTGGCCGGGTATACCTATGTATGTGGAGAAAAAAGGATAGGACGGGCTACTCTAGTGAGGAATGAAGCCATAAATAAACCATGCGTTGGTCTGCCTTTGGCTTTGACTGTGTGCGCCTTCAAAACAATTGGCGGCAAACAACAATCGAGCGGCCAAATGGCCAATAGCAAATTGGTCGAAACGGATGCCAGCATTGGTCGAAAACAGACGAGCGCGCTCTCGTGAAAGCTCCATGCCGAAAGCTTTCACGTTCTGGCCTTAAATACTGGCGCGCTGATAAAACGCAAAACAGTTGCCGTTTCGTACGCGTTGCCAACGCAGCAGCAGCAGCAGCTAACGGTGTATATGTGTGTGTGTGTGTGTGTTCTTTAGAGATTGAACGTAAAGGCATAACCAAAACCGTTGCCTACTTTTGAGCGCCAAGCGAAAAAGCGCTGATCTAAGCGTACGGCCAAACAATTGCCGGCAAAGTGCATAACGGTGCATGTGATTCGTGGAAAACAAAATAAGAAAATAAACAAACAAACATACTGGCCTTACACAATTTTATGCGAGTGCCCCGAGGCAAAGTTCTGTTGATGCAACAGCAAGTGAGCCGCAAGTGAAAGGTGAAAGCGCAAAGTGCAAAGAAGATTTTTATTTTTGAAATACTTACAATTGCCAAAGACCTGCTGGGTAAGTAGCTCAAGCTGAAGCTGAAGCTGAAGCTTAAGCGTAGCGTTAATTAGTGCTTATGTTTCACAGGGGATTTGGGTAATTAAACAGGACGCTGTAATAAAAAGAAAATTTAGAATAGGATAACACGCTTACCTTCGTTAAGTTCTACAGCTTAGCTAATTAATTAATATGTATGAGCTTAGTCAGAGAGATTTGTTTAAAAGTGCTTGAATTAAAGCTTAAGAGATCTGGCTAATAAACTGAATCTTAGTAAAAATTCATTTGATAAGTGCAATTTTCATTTAAATTGTGGTTAGTATAAAACCTGCAGGCAAAACTTTGAATTTTAAAATATTAAAATTTCTCTATAAAATTTCTGCTAATGTTAAATTGATATTCGTTTGACTTGCAAATATGTTTTATTCAGAATTTTCTTAGACATTGAGCAAGAAATTTGTGACTGCAGCAGACTGAAATAATTTTTGATGTGTGGACATTTCATTTAAATTGATTTTTAAAAATTCTCTCGAGTGTATGAAAGCATCATCTTGAAGAAATTCATTTAAAGGACTTTACGTGAATTACGAGCGCCATGCCCTCATGCTCATGCTCATGCCAAACATAAACATTTTGTGAAGCGTGTAACTCCTGCTGAGCCCCGCATTCGGCAATGAGAAAAACTGCCCAAAACATGCACAGAAATCACTCAGAAAAATGTTGACAAAAAATTCCCAGCGGAGTTACGCGAAGGCGGCAATTTTACGGCAGTTTGGCTTTGCCAGACGACAGACGCATCCTTTAAAGCCTACACGTGCGAATGGGCTCAGGCAGAGCAACTGAGAGAGATGGAGAGAAGAGAGCGAGCTAGCAGCATAAACAAAAATGGCAATGCTCAAGTGGCGCAGCGCTTAACACAAATTAGACGCACTTAATTACAGCGCAAACAGTCGCCGGGAGTGGCCGTAAAATGTGCGATGCAAACGCTTAAACCGCAGAGGAAGAAAAAAAAAAAACAGAAATTAAATGAATTGAAGCCGTCGGCTGCCTTCAGCCAGGGGCAGACCGACAGCGAGATAGTGAGAGAGACAGAAATAGCTGGCGATTGGGGAGCTGACATGGGGGGTGGTGGGTGGGAGATGGCAAGTTTCAATTTCAGCCCACAACTTGCGGCTTAAAACTCAATTAAATGAATTGCCAAAAATTTAATTACATTTCATTTGATTCCACCTTAAAGCAGAGCACAAAAATAAATTTGAAGTATATCACAGTTTCAATTTAAGCTAAACACAACTTAAAATAAGATATTTTAATAGTTTTAATAAGAGTTAGTAGTTCTAGTTAGCTAAAGAATTTATTTAATGAATGTCATGTTTCATATTATGAAATTATGTAGGAAATTTTATATTTTGCCCTTACACCCAGCTCAGTTAAGTTTCATATTCCACATAATATACTCGTCTCTTCATTACATATTTGGTTACATAATCTTGAGAGTTACATAAAATCCATCTATAATTGAAGCCACAGCCAGGAGCTTGAGTCTACATTCAGATGGGTTTCCTGGAATGGCAGTCAGACTAGTGCTGCCTCTCTCTGCTCCGTTGGACTTGATTGTTATAGGGCACTTGAAGTTTTGTAGAGCAATATCTGTAATACTTGAGCAACTGGAGCTTTGAGCTGGCAGTGCAGGCCATAATCCATGCCGAAAGGCGAACTACGAACTGCGCTGGCAAAAACTTTGCAGGGCATTTAACAACCCTTTTGCCAAATAACCAAATGCTGCCCTTCGACAACAGCAACAACAACAGCAGGAATGGGCATATCCTGTTCCGTTCTGCAGATAGCCTACAATACTTGGTAACGCCCCTTTATCTGGCAAACAATACGCTCATTAGCTGTTGGAGCTGCCTTATTTTGGGGCCTCCTGCTGCCTTTGCGCCTAAGCTCAGGCGACGTCAAATGCTAAGCAAAGTTTTCTTAATTTCGCTGCCGCACACATAAAATAATATTTTTGTTCTCGGCAAACTTTGCTCGCAATTAAGTTGTAAGTGCCAGCAACTGGCCCACGGCGCTCCCCCTGCCTCTCCCTCTCCTTGTCACTCTCACTCTCTCTCTCGCCTGCCGTGAATGAAGTCATTCGTTTTAATTATTTAGATTGGCCATAAGCCAGCCCAGCCGCCAGTCAAGCCAGTCCAGCCAGGCATCTGGCATCGCCCAATACCGAAATCTGAAATGAACAAAATGTTGCGAGGCAAATCATAAAACTGAGTGCCAATATCTGCTGCACTTCGCTCCAACTTTTCCACTCCGGCTGTCCCCGCCGAGCTGAATGCTCGAAACTGTTGACAAAGTAATGCAAGTGCGGAATGAATATGCAAATGGCTCAAGAGATTGACTGCCCCCAAACTAAGTGCGATCGACCCCAGATGCCGGTGCTGCTCCAGCTGCAGCGCCAACTCCCATTGCCAACAAGTAAGGCCACTTTATTTAAGTTTTTCCTGTGGCATAAACCTCTCAGTTGGCCTCGAATTGTTGCCAATGCGTACAACTTTGGAATGGAAATCGTGGCACTTTGTACGCACTTCTGCCACCAATAAAATTCCGAAAAAAAAACTTTGCCAGTGTCAATGTGCGAAATCCTTAAAGGATAACAGCCAACGAAGAAGAAGAAGAAGAAGCTGCACAAACTTAAGCTGCAATTCATTTTGAAATGCGAATGAATGAATGAAGTAGTTTCGATGTCTTAATTCACTGTTTCCCATTTCGCTGAGATAAGCAGAAGCGAAGATATCTGCCATGAAGGACATTTATATTTATTGCTTGATAATAAGTTAAATAAGGCTTTGAATAAAAAAAAAATTGTATATATACATAAAAAAATATATCTTCTTATATAGTTTTTATAAACAAACACAAATATATAAATAAAGAATATGATGTATTTACTAAACAATACAAAATTTACTTGATTCATTTATATATTTTAATATTATATTATAAATCAATAAAAAATTATAATTATAATTATTATATTATATTATATTATTAATAATTCACACAAAAATATGAACAAAAACATATTCAATTTTTAACACAAAAATAAAATTCAAATATATTAAGAAATATATTAAAATATATATAAACAACAAAGCTTTAAATCAATAAAATATTATCAATAAAATACAAACGTATAAACATATAAAAATATAGCTACACAATAAGGCCATGCCATAAAGTAAATATAAAAATGTATTAATAAATATATTAAAATATAGTTCAACCACAAAACCTTATATCAATAAAAAAAATATATATATATACAAATATTAAATAAAATACACCAAATACAGCCAAGCATTAAGTCCTTGCATCAATAGAAATTTTCCAGACATATTGTTTACCTACACAAATAAAATACAAAGATTTATTTGCATCTACGCTAAGCAATGTCGTGTACCCAAAAAGTAGTTTTCCAATTTATTTTACCAATCGAACACGTAGTCAGCCTTCGTACAACATATTTCATCTCGAATACAATAACAAACTGCAATGAAAGTCGAGCTCGCTGTGCATTTGCATAAACTCTTAGCGCCTTTTCAGCGCCTCAAGTTTTCCGGGGGGGTGGCAGCAGTTTAGAACAATCCGAACTCAGCTCAAGTCATAAACATAAAATGCTTGGCAATGAAATGCCAAAACAATAAATAATAAAATAAAACGCGGCCAGGACAAAAATCAAAAGCGAACAACAACAGCAGAGTACAAACGAAAAAAGAATAACAGGAAGCAGAGCGAGAGAGATATAAATAGGATTTCTATGGCGAAAAAGGAAATTAAATATTCACGTATGAAAAATCGAGGCGAGGAAATGGCGCATACTAAATTATAAAAGCCAAATAAATGTGCCAACGGAATTTGGCGATTGATTAGGCTGCGCGGGGAGGGAGGCGTAGGGCAATGCTCTGCTACGACTAATTAAAACTCACCCAAAAAAACGAGAATGGGGTCTATTGGGCGTCGCTTGGTTCCTGCTCACCACACGCAGAGCCATTAATTCATTTTTATGTTTACCATAATTTCTTCTTTTGTTTCTGCTGCTGTTATTGTTGTTGTTGTTGTTATCGCAGCGGCAATATTTGTGTTCAGTTTCTGCTTCTTGGCAAAAACAAAAGGGCGACAGGACACGCAGCACAGCACCAAGGAGCCAAGGCAGAGGGCTTTAATGATGCGCCTTAACCAATACCAAATATTGGGCGCTGACCTGGAAAGACCAAAAATCTCTCTCCTGGGCATACCCAGTGCCCATCTATACGAATGTCTCTCAGTCTGTCTGTATGTATGTGTGCGTGTGTGCGTGTGTGCGTGTGTGTGTGTGCATAAATATTTGTGGAGGCAGCTTTGAGTCTCCCCCGCTTGCCAGCTGAGTAATTTGAATACGCATGCATACTTAATTTGCCACGGCTTTGACTACGGCTACGGATGGCTTCCACCAGCTACGCCGGCTGAACGAGCCAGTGGCAATCGTACACTACATTATTGATTGGATATTTGTGCGGGAATTTAATAATATATGCTAATTTGGTATAACACTCGACTCTAAATTGCCGAGCCAATGGCTCAAGTAGCTTTAACTAGCAGTTGGCAATTCAGAGCCATCTCGAAATATACTCAATAAATAATATGCTGCAGAGTGAGAGATAAATTGAAGATAATGTTGATCAAGCATATACATACATATATCTATATATATATACAGTGAATATGTTTTCCCTTCGTGCCTTTCCACACTCTTTATTTAATAACTACTTTAGTTAATTATATATACTCTATAATTTTGTTGGTATTTCGTCCATCATTGAACAGTTCTTGTCAAATTACTTCATCATTCACATATACATATATATATATATATATATAGTATATGTAGCCTTTGCTTATATGTCATAGAACGTATTGTTTTCTGTCAAAATTCAACAAACTTTTGGCATTTTCCCGAAAGAAATTAATAGCCGCACATTTGA